GCCATGAGCTATGTGTTATGGATTTATGAAGACCTTTACACTGGTGCGCCATTCACCATTTACAAGTTTGGTTTTTATCAAATAAGGGTGATGATTTAGTAAACCCTATAATATGTCCTAAGGACGAATGACATAAACATGCCACAATGTTTGATGATTCCTTAGATGAACATGAAGGAGTGGAGGTTATTTTATTTTCAAGGATGAGAATCTTGAAAAGTACAACAAAGAAACTTAGGGAGGGAAAGACCAACCAAATGTAACACGGCACATAGTTTGTAGGTGCTATATGAGTGATGGAGGTACATTGCTGATCAAAGATGCCCCCTCACATTGTTTGAGGGCCACACACACAACTTGTAAGGAACTCTACACGCACCTTGACGTATGCATGACACACAAGCTAGTTTGATAACTCATTTTTCTTTTCATAAATTTCAACCATGCATAAATCCATGCTATTTATTGCAAATGTTTTCTGCTGACTTATTAGGTTTATTGGATTGAGATGATCTGGCACATTTCATTTGGTTAGTTTCATGCTGGTTGGACTAGTTGGAGTTGGATTGAGCCAAAATTATTTAAGTTACATTGATTTAGGAAGTTGAAATGTATTTGAATTTTGGACCTTTTTTTTCTAATTTCTTCAAGGGTCCAGATTGATGGTGGATCTGTGTGCTTGAGGGCTGGGGTAGAGAATGCCCATATTGATTTCGGAGGGGTTTATTTGGTGGTTTGGTGCTATGGGATTGGATGGAGAAGGTTGGGTTAGGATGAGATGTGCATACCACAAGCACAAAACCGGTCATTAAAACCATATAATGAATCCCTCTATAAAATCTTCTTTGATATCAAATAACGTAAAAAACTAATACGGATATTTGATGGAATACTTTTTTGGATATGTAAATGGGTAGATTGCGTTGTTAAAGAGGATGAGAAGTTTGACACAACCTTTGAGACAGGAATGGACGACACACCCAATGGAGCTCTACACGAACGGATGAGTCTATACACAATCAATGGAGGCATGCAATCGATAGTTAGAGTTCAATACACTAATGAAACAATTGATAGGTAAATACTGCCTGAACAAATAGGAGGAGTTAACAGCACACTGGTGAGAAAACCAGCTCAAAATTTCAGCAAAATTAAGTTTACATATTCACAAACTTTAGAAAAATCAACCGTACTTCTCCACAATTTCAAGAAGCCTGTACAACTTTAAGGTACATCAAGTTCATCTAGATCTTATAAGAGAAGACGTAAAATAATTATTTTGGTGCTTGGCACAACATTGCGTCAACTTAGAGAGTCTGCAATTGGGATTCCTCGTCGACAAAATTATTATCTTAAGGTTTGTTTTGGGCAGTTTCTGCTTTTCAGGATAATCAACTTATCCTGAAACGCGGCCTGCGGGTTGACCGCGGGGGTCGACATACGGCCTGCTTTTAGTGTAAAAAACCCAACGTGGCAGGCAACGTTTTCAAAAACGCGCAAACCAGACGGTTTGGCGGGGTTTTTAAAAAAGCGCCGCACTTATAAGCTGCCCCAAACGGGCCCTTAATTATATGGTACATGTTTTCTTGATCATTTTTTTTGTTTGAAAACATTTTTGCTGCATACTTTGGTCTACAAATCTTATTTTTACATGAGCTAGAATATCAGCTCATTTATATTTAGTCTTATTTAAATTTAATAGAAGTGAATCTGCCTCCTTTAATCTCTTCAGTTTGGCATGCTTTTTATTCTAATATGATTTGCAAAGTTAATTGGATGAAAACCCAATTTTCACACAATTTATTTTGATATACAGAACATTTAAAATGAAGTAAGAGGAACATTAAGAAATGATTTTAGTAGCCAATCAAACCATTCCTCCCATGTTCATGAGGTGCTTTGGTCGCACAGCATTGCAATGGCGGCTTTTGAACAATATTATCCTTGCACTTTGCTCATTGAGTGGAGTTTGACTAGATGCTTAGGATTTCATGTAGTTTGTCGGGGAAGAGTAAGATTAAAAATCTCCATGCCACAGCAAGCTGTACAGGGTACAAAAATCTTTTTATTTTCAGTTTTTTTGGGTGATGGGTTGCTATTTGAAAGAAATATTGCCAAAAATTGGAGTCTTACCATTTTTTGGCTGCATAAAAGCTCGAATTAAATTTTTTTTTCAATTATTGTTGCTTCCACTGGCCTCCAGTTTTAAGAACTATCAATGGTTTTGGATATCTTTTGTCGAGTTGAACAAATCTTTACCAAGATAGTTGTCTATGCCCACATTTTTTTGGTAACTGATATCTGATTTTACATTATTTGGAATCGTTTTGTACATTTCAACAAAGAAATATAGTTTTGACTCTCTCTAAATTAGCTAACTTTAATTTTTAAGTGGGTCTTTAATGCATTTCAACCTTTTTGGTCTTTTAGTTTATTTTGTTGGCAAGTACTATGTAATTTTTCATCGCTCGCCGTTTGATGGTCATTGATGATTATGTTGGTACCCCACTTCACATTTATTCATCTTCCAACGCCCTTTGGTGATCGGCACCAATGTTTGTAACCCTCTAACTTTTGATATTTGATGTGTCTTGTTGATTGATGAGTGCCGTTGATTGCCACATAATCATCAAACATTTTTTCTACAAACATTAATACACAATGTAACTTTTTACAATGTAATCTTGCCATTTCTTGTCAGGAGGGTGAATCATTGTAATTGCCTATCATATATAGAATTGTTTTTAACTTACCTTGGCCCTATGATATTTTTCTTTCCAAAATTTTCACATCTTAGTCTCATGTTAGAATGCAGATTTTAATTTCTATCACATTGAGATTTTAAGCATATACAAATAAGATTGTAATCTGTTTTTTTAATGGTCTTTTTTTGGCATAAATTTGAACTTGTATATTTTAATCCCATGTTAATTGTTTTCTCTTTACTCCCTGAGCAGGTTTTTCTGATACAGCCTCCTCTTAGAGTTGATGAAGGTGACAAACTGATGACTTCTTTTTCAATGAGCCGGTCCAGGGACAATCATCGCCTCATGGATGTAAATTTCACATACGAGTTGCAGCTATTGTCTGAAAAATGCTTTAAGCCCGTCTCCAGAATGTATTATATAGAATGATTATGCAGAGGGGACTATTGCATACAGGTACGTTATTTTTTATTTTTTTTAAATTTTGTCTTTTTTTTTTAACTAATTTCCCTTTGCAAATGAAATGTGATTCTTTCCATACCCCATGCAAGCGGCTGCTTCATTCACTATCATGAAGCAAAGTTGTGTCAAAATTTTTTTGGCCAAATATCTGATAGGATGGATATCAAAGATATTGGATTTACTTCGAGTATTATATACTATTTTATTGATTGCAAAGCAAATCCAATGAATTTGAAATTAATTAAATTTTTTATCAGAATATTATGTTCTAATATTAGGTTTAATATCTTCATTGTGACCTGAAGCCCATCCATTCAAAAGCGTTGAAGTTTTCATTTGTTCTCCCACATCATGTAGAAGTGCAGCAACTGCTCTACCAACAAACCTTTTGTGATTTTCCCTTTTTAGGAATGAAGGGAGAATGCGTCCTCTCAGAATGTTGAATGTGTTGTTTGAATGTACAACAACCATCTTTAGCTGGAAACGGTATTTGCAGTCCTTGAATGTGATGAAGTGTATTTTGCTTTTTAGTTTGTCTCTATTGGAATTATTTGTCATATGTATTTTTGAGACAACTTTCTATCCACCATTAATTATATGATGTTTTATGTACCATCAAATTTATTGTTATATTATACTGTTTGTGCTCTCACTTCTGAAACAATGATGCATATCGGAAGATTTGCGGTCGTAGAGAGATTATTTAGTATCTTAGCGTCACACAAAAATCTAGCACACATTCAAATAATTAAAGTGAGAAATAGAGATATTAAAAATTTTTATACAGAAAATTCTGGAAAGGAAACAAATCGTGAACCCTAGCACAGTTGAAGTAATCCTTGTGAGTATATAGTTCTATTTTTCATTAAGTCAGGGATGAAATTATAAAGTTGATGTACAATGCTGTTTCAACAATAATAGTCGTAATAGGCCGTGAAGGTCGTATTCGATTACTATAGAGGCAGTAAGTTCATCGTGAATGTTATAAATGTTGATTATAGTGCCTTTTTTTGAGGTCATAGTTGAAAGCGTGATAGTGGTTGGTAATGTGGGCTATAGATGATTGCTTCAGGAGTGTTGGTTGGCCACAAAGACCGTAGTAGGGAGTTGCAGTAGTTGTGAGAATGTCCATAGGCTGTATATGCTGGAGTTGGGAGCTGCATGAATTGAGGTAACGTCCGTAGGTCGAAGAGGTCAGAGTTGGGACCTGTATAAGTTGAGGTAACATTTGTAGGCCATAGAGAATGAAGTTGTGAGCTACATGAGCTGAGATAATGTACGTAGGTTGTAGATGTTGAAGTTGAGAGCTTCATGAGCTGAGATGGTAAGTATGTTGTAGAGGCTGGAGTTGGGAGTTGCATAAGTTATGATAATGTCTGTTGCCCGTAGGCCACAGAGGTCAAAGTTAGGAGCTACACAAGCTGTGTTAACGTTCGTAGATCACAAAGACCGGAGTTGAGAGCTACATGAGCTATGCTAACGTCTCTAGGCCACAGAAATGAGTTGTGGACCACATAATCTGTAGTTGGTCACGCAGACCGTAGTGGTGACATGCAAGGAGAGAACTACAAGAGTTTGGAGATGGTCATGATATTCAGAGTACGACAGTTGTAAGAAATTATTACGAGATGTATCATATTTGAGATGTGTTGTTACACCGTCTTTAGGGTATGTTGTTGATCATTTTTCAGGGTTCATTTTTGCAACATCTTCGGGATTGTTGTTATGTTGGATTCGTTGTTACTTCGCAATGTACGCTGAGATTCCACAATGCACATTACGATTTAGCCATAATTTTTCATTTTTTCGCAACTTGCGCTGGGATTCCACAACCCAACCACATTGTGATTTCGCTAGGGATTTTGCCAAAAGGAGCAGCTGGTAGCGATGGTGGTTGGCGACGACCGACGAGCAGTGTTCAATAGTGGTCGGAGGGTGCATGAGTGGGTAGAGTTCACTAGACCATTGGTGTACAACACGAAGGATCAACTACTCCTCAAAGCTCTGATCTTCCTTTGGTTCAAGGTCTAGCTTTCCTTTTAAGAGGGTGGTAGGACTCTATTATAATTTGCGATAGACCTTCCTGCAAAGTAAGGTAGGAATTCACACCACTCTATCGGATGACCCAGAGAAATTTCGTCGACCGAACAGTGTTTTGTGGACATTTGAGTGCTTTAATGATATCAAAATTGAGTGATATTGGAATCGTTGGATTCATTTTATTGAGATGCTTGGTTTGATTATAAGCTAGTCAGATTTAATTTTTTTTTATCTTCTAATTAGGCACCAAAAGTTTCCAAAAATGACCTAATGGCTTGATATGACTTGAATTGGACCAATTTTGGTCTTGTTATGTCCGCCTCGTCAAGCAAGTCTGTTTGACTGTAAGTATGCTGAAATTGAAGTTCTTGATGTTTTTTAAATAAGTTTTGGATGTTCCATTCTAAAAAATTTGCCCTGAGATTTGTGTAATGCCTCGAGATGTGTTCTGGATGATGAAAATTTGTTAATGACATATCAGTTGCCCTTCTATTTTTGGGCGGCTGTGTGTATGTATTTTAAGTATATATATATATATATGCTTGTGTGTATGTATTTATATGTATGTATGACCCATGCATTCTGTGTTTGTGTATGATGATGGGTCAGGTAGTTTGTCATCACTTACGCTCACTGTATTGCTCAAATTTACTTTTTTGAGAGTTGAGTCATATTCATCCTTACATTTGGAGAGATACATGTTGAGTTGCATGATGATTTGTTGACCTTTTTACATGATTTCAAGTGCATGGAATCTCAATTACAAGTATTTTTCACTCGTGAAATTTTTCTCATGTGGGCATTATTTGGCAAATTAGACTACGAGAGTGTGCCTGAATCATCAAGATAATTTAGATGGGCATATTAATGTCCAAATTGAGATTTATTTGGCATGTGTTGAGTGGTGAATTAGTCGCCATCATTTTAAATTTTAGATAAAATTAATGTTTATATATTTAAATTAATATGCATTATACATATACATTTATTTATATAAATATATGTGCTCTTATACATGTAAATTAATAGATTAATATTATATAATATTTAAAATTCAAAATTTCCTCATATTTCTCTTAATTAGGTAGCTACATTATTATAATTTTAAGTTACATTACTTATTTTCCAAATTAAGCCCACAAAATTAGAAAGAAGGATTATGATTTTATTTTATTTGGGCCCCACATCTCTTGATGTTTTAATCTAGGGACATTTATATGAAAAGTAAAAATAGGAAATCTATTTTTCCTCTCATGACAAACACAAGAAAAAAGGGAAATTTTTCATAAAAGCACACTCTACTTCTCTCCCCTTCTCAAATCTCTTTTAGATTTTGTTCTCTCTCTCTCTCTTTCTCTATCAATTTGTAAAAATACCTTCTCTCTCCCTCTCTCTTAGATCTCTTTCAATCTTTCCCCTCTCCACATGTCTCTCCCCCTTGAGGCATAAAGCCTTTTTTCCTTTCTCACTTCTACCATATATCATCCCCACAATTAGATATAAAGCTTATTAACAACCCACTAGAGTTCCACAAGTAGTAAGTTAATCTCCTTTCTATCTCCACCTCCACACATACTAAATCATTTCATCAATTTATTGGTGCATCCGTTATAAGAAAAAACCATATCTACATTTTCTCATGAGAGATCTTTAAATGTTGTGATGAGGTGCAAAGTTTTCAACCCCGTTTTCTATATAATTGTTTCTTAAACTAGAATCTATATCGTCCAAATTCTTTCATGTTGAAACTCTTTTAGGCTTCGTTTTGAGTTGAATTACCCATGCTGAAGTTTCTATTGATTATGTTTTCAAATTAAGATTTATTTTGAGTTAAATATATGTGTCTTGAACTAAATTCTTTTGAAGTTTATTGGTAAGCTGATCCATATAAAGTGAAAATATGCTAAAGATTATTTATGAGACAACTTCTTATTAGAATTCATCTACTGATATAATGTTTGCGTATTAAAACTTACATTCATATTGAATTAATCTAGCATGATTTAATTGATCTTAAACATGTAACCCTTAAGGATTAATTCTTCATTTACATTTTTCTTGATCAACCTAAAGTTGGTGTTATGATGAAATATATCAAAGCTCCGCTTAATCATACATCCAAGTGATCATTGTGGCTGGACTTCTTATGTCAAATCATTTTATTGCACACTTGTTTATATTGATTATAATGTGATAGGAATAGTTTTATGGTTTAATTACATATTACTAATAGCTGTTTTATAGAAAACCATAGGCAACAAACATAGATATATAAACCTTAGGGTCTCACTCACCATTCCATTTCATGTCGGTTAGGAACTATCTTTGTTACTGACATTATCTAAGTTTGCCGATTAGTATCCTACAATCTCCTATCATGCACTCATATTCTATACACATCTATAAAATAAAAATAAAACCTGGTACAAGGGTCCAATAGTCACGGTAAATTAGGCACATGTGCTCACTACAGTAGAAACTTATCAGTTATGAATCCCTTTTGTTGATGCATATCATGTCATCACCTCCTTTGTGAGTCTGCATATAGTTTAGGATTTTATTCTAGGATAGAAAAATCAAATTCACATACTTTACACTCAATTAGCTCCATCTAGTTATTTTATTTTTGACCATCATCTATATCTAACCAACCCTTTTTATTTGTAAACTTTAGATGGTATCTTGACCTAGGTAGGATGCAAGTATAGGCTTCTATCTTTTCTATATTATTAAGAAATCAGATTGGTCATTCTTAATTTTTTCTTTCCATGTTGTAAGTTTCATTTCATACAACTTTTCCATCATATAGAGAATGTGTCCAGTCTTGCTCAAGTTCATGAGATCAAGCAATAAGCCTTATTCCTTCCATCTTTTTTTTTTTTCTCTTTCATTATATTGAAGATAAGTTTTGGTCCTGTCTCCATTATTTGGTTATCCTCAGCCTACATTAAGGATATTCATCTCTCTGAACTACTCTCAAACGATGTTAAGAAGAGTTTCCATCTCTAAATATCATTCAGTCTATGTCAAGGGTGCTCTTCTTATACCTCTCCTCAAACCAAATTAAGAACTACATCCTTCAATTCTCCTCATACTATATTAGGGAGAATCATCTCTCTAGTCATTCCTAACACTATATTGATGATAGTTATGTCAGTTAATTTTCCTCACCCTATATTTAGGGATATCATCTCTTGGCTCTCCTTGATCCCGAGTGAAATATAGTTGTGTAAAATTATATAGTTGACTCAGCTATGCAACAGTGCTAAAAACTTGATGCAATATTTTATGAATTAGAAATTTAAGAAATTAATGTTGGGATTCTACACAAGTATATATATCGTTATCAAGTAATAATGGACTTTCTATTTAAGCCCCAAATATTAATCCCATGAGGAAGGTTTAAATTTGAAATGGTAATTTAAACTAGGAAATTTACAAAAATAAAGAAATTCTACTACACTAATTACAAATGTTTAAGGTGCTATCAAAACTAAATTATCAACAACTAGCAATACCATAAAGTAAAGTTAAACTAAAACTACTAAACTATGTTTTTATGATGAAGTTATCAAATAAAAGAAAGCATC